CCTTGCCTGGCTGACTGTCCCTAGGCTAGAGTAGGTTTAGGTGAAACTCAAAAGTGTGATTTTTGAGTCCCGGAAGGAGTGCAGAAAATATTCTGGTTTGAGGACTCACAAGTCAAGTTTCTCAAACTCTCGTATCTTGAAACCGACACCCTGACTTCCTTCCCAAACCCTCTACAAAGCTCCGCCCCCAAACCACAGGTTTCAGTTTTACTCTTGGCCAATGAAGATAAAGATGAATTCTAACGAAAAAGTATATGCTGGCCCCGAATTGGAGAAACAACTCATTTAAACCTACTCGGCAAGTCGCCGAACCGGCCGATCTAGACCCTTAAAAACTATCTCCCGCTCCTCTTCGTGTACCTGTTGCCATGGTGATGAAGACAGGCTCCCGCTGAGGCTCCGGCTGCGGTCGCAGCAGGCTGGAGAGGCTGAAGAAGGTGCTGGACACGCTGACCAGCAGCCAATCCCCGTCCAGGGCCCGCGGGCAGCTCTGCTGCGGGATCAGACCTCTAGCCCAGTTGGCCGAGGCGGGGAACGGGATGAAGCGGCTCATCTCGCAGTGTGGTGCGGGGGCGCCTGCGGGGTACCGCCGGAAGGCAGCCAGGAGCGTTCCCGCCGGATCTGCGGGGCCGAAAAGGGTGCGACTGAGACCCTGGCTAGAAATGTGCTTGACTATACACAGACCGGAACGCACCTTCTAACACAGTGGTGAGAGACGTAGGACTTCACAGAAGGGAGAACTGAGGCCTAGGGTCCCTCCGTGAGCTAAACAGGAGGCCAAAGGATGCAGGCGAGTCCCGAGGACTCACCATCAACCTTGAAGTATAGCTTAGGGTCAAGATCTGGCCGGGGCGGCGGTCCCCTGGGTCCCTGGCGCAGCAGCAATGTGGCCGGTTTCTTGGTCAGGCCGCCCCCACGCGCGTCCTCCACGAACCAGCACTCAATCGCCGCTGGTCCAGCGGAGGCGACGGTCGCCAGGCCTGGGGGAAAGGGGCTCCAGTGATCAGGCAGACAGGAGGCCCAGGGACCTGCCCGCGCGACGGGACCACCTCCCTCCCCTTCCCGGTGCGCCCCTAACCAAACAGGAAGAAATGGGGTGCGCTCACCCAGAGCCACAGCGAGGAGCAGGGTCGGAGGCTTCATGGCGCTGCGATCTGCCCTACTAAGTCTGCTCTTCCCCTTTCACTTTCATTTTCCCGCAAAGCCGAAGTGGGGGACTGGAAATTCCCTGCTCTCGTCAGGTGAGGGCGTGACTGCACGTTGGAGGGCCGCGGCCCACGAGAGCCAGGCAGGTCCGGAAACCCTGCCCCAGTCCCGGCTCTCCCGGCCCTGCGCCAACCCTCCCCGCCCTTTAGCAGCCTAAGCTCCGCCCTCCGGCTGTCAGCGCCACCTCCCTGAGAACCCCGCCCCCGCGTCCCCGACTACGCCGGGCCGGAGCAAACAGAGGGGTTGTCTTTTGCGAAGCCAAGTGAAGTGACCAATAAATACTTTAATCACGACTAAAAATGTAAAACCTATACTACGCGACTCACTCCGTGTCTCCACCCACTTTCATGAAAACCTAGTTGGGGGTCCCCATGGCGAAAGTGGGAAGGTACAGAAAGAAGGGCGAGCCAGAGGCCTCACCCCCAAACACAAACTCCAGACACAAACAAGCACAACCTGACCCTGTGACTCCAGGATGCCCTAAATGCCCTTTCCTTTCCCCACCTCGTCAGCCCTCCTCCGTGAGGGTGGGGCTGTGTATGCCCGAGCAGAAAAGGCTTAGTTCGGGGGCTACCGAGGGCGGAAGGGGCTGCGGGACGGAGCGAGCCGGCGATGGTGCCACCTCCGCCCTCTCTAGAATATTTACAAGTCCGCAGCGATAAGGTTAGACAGTGTGGTGGGGGAACCCGGGGCCACCTTAGAACTAAGCTCCTCTGCTGCCGGCCGCTCAGTGCGCTCCTCCGCCCCCACTGAAATCCATCTCCACCTTGTGCACGCTGGGAGGGGACCACACGCGCCTCTGGGACGCGGGCGTGGCCGAACTCGCCTCGTCGCCACTGCCCCCGCCCACTCTGGAAGACTCCCTCTTGGGCTGCAGCGCTGGCCCGGCCGAGGCCCCGGGGCCGGGTCCCGGCCCGGGTCCCGGTCCCGACCCCGCGCTGCCCGCGCCCATCCGGTGGCGGCGCTCACAGTGTCCGCGATGGCGCATGAAGCTGTCCCGCCACATGAACTTCTTGGCGCAGACACTACACTCGTAGGGCTTGAGGCCCGTGTGTGTCTTCATGTGCTCGGTCAGGTGGTGCTTCATCTTGAACTTCTTGTTGCACACGGGGCAGTCAAACGGCCGCAGGTTGAGGTGCATGTTCACGTGCCGGTCCCGCATGCTCTTATGAGAGAACGCCTTCCCACAGTGGCACAGGAAGATCTTGCTCCCCTCGCCGCCGCCCGTCCCCCCGGGGGCCCCGCCAGAGCCGCTCGCCGCGCCCAGCCCCAGGGCGGAGGCGGCCCCCAGGGCCACCGCCCCGTGCTCGGCTGTGTTCCCCGGCGTCTGGCCTGCGGCCTGTGAAGAGGAGGATGGGAAGACCAACAAGGGGTTGCCCGGCACCTCCAAGGGAAGGAGCGGTCGCGGAGGGTGGGCGCTGGCATAGGAGGAAGGGGTGGGGCCGCCTGAGTCCTCAAGCCCCGGCCCGGCGCCCCCGCCCTCATAGGCGCCGAAGTCATTGGAGGATTCGCAGAAGTTGACCTGCTCCTCCCCCTTGTCTGCGGGCTCCGTCAGGGTCCGCACGTCGCTGATGCTGAGCGTGGGCTCGGGGTCTCCCCCGGCAGGAACCCCGGCGCCAACCCCCAGCTCCTCATCCTCGTCGTCCTCACAGGTCAGCACCAGATCCTCCTCCTCCTCCTCGTCCTCTAGCTCTGGGTCCTGGTGAGCGAGCGACGCGGGCGCGGGGCCGCTTCGGCCTCGCTTCACGTAGAGCCAGGGCTTCTGCGGCACCACGCCGGCGGGCAGGCAGTTGTGCCTGCGGAGCCCGGCGGCCGCGGGCCCCCTCCCGTCCCCGCCGTCGTCACACAGCTCGTCGGCCTCCAGCAGCAGCTTTCCGGAGGTGGCGCCCGCACTGCCGACCCCGGGCGCTGGGAACGCCGGGCCACCCTCTCGTCGGCCCCCGCTGCCCGCCGCTGACGCCACGAAGGCGTCCTGGGAGGGCGAGGAGAAGTCCGCGGACTCCCGCGGGCTGAAGTAGTTGCTACTGCTGGGCGACTGGTTCTCACTGGCCCGGCTGGAGGTGTGGGAGCGGCCGGAGCCCGCGCTGGCGGGGGCCGCGGGGGCCCCGCTCCCCGGCGGGACGCCGGGCCCCGGGACGGAGGGGGCGGCGGCGGCAGCGCCAGCGGCGGCCGCGGCCGAGGATCGGCCCTCCCGAAGGAGCTCGGTGCACTTGTCCACGATGTGCCACATCTGGAGGACTGACCCCACCGTGAGGAAGTTGACGATGTCGGCGGCGGCCATGCTGAGGCGACCCGTGTAGGCCGAGGCCAGGACGGTCTCAAAAGCACCTGGGTCCATGACGCTGGGCAGCGAGATGGACGTCATGCCCTTGAGGAGCACCTGGTCGTGGAAGTACGGGGAGGAGGCGGCCAGGACGGCCCTGTGGGCGCGGAACTCGCGTCCCTGCACGCGGATGGACACGTCGCAGAGCTGGCCCTGGAGCCGCTGCTGGTTGAGGGACTCCAGGAGGGCGCTGGTCACCTCGGGGAAGGACACGTGGACCACCGCCGCGGCTGGCAGGGGCAGGGGCGGCGGAGCCAGCGACAGGGGCAGCGGGAGGGCGGCCCCGCCGGGCGACAGAGCCGGCTCCATGTTGCGAGAGGAGATACCCCCCCAGCCACAGGATCGGAGGAGGGGAGGGCGGCCGGGGGGGTCTCTGGGGAGGAAAAAGGAGAAGGACAGCATTCATTCTGAGAAGAGCCGGCCACCAGCGCTCGGAAACGACCTGTCGGCCTTACTAGTAACCCGCGTGACACGGGCACAGACGCGGCAGCCGAGGCGGGAAGGTATCGAACCCGGCCGCGGGCGAGCGAAGCCAAGTAGCCAAGTTGAGCTCTCTTCCCAGGGCAGGGAATAAAGCACCCCCGGGGGGCGGGCGTCTGCTCGGGCCCCGCCCCCTGACCCCCCGGCTCCCCGCCGGCCCCGCCCCCTGGGGACCCTCCCGGGCCCCGCCTCCTGGATCCCCGACCCCGCCTCGCGCTTGCCCCCGCCCTCCGATCCCCGCCCCCCCACTCCGCCCCGAGCGCGCCCTCGGCTATTCCGCGGCCCGAAGGGGCCCCCAGCCCCGCGCGCCCCCGCTTACCTGGCCGCGCGCCCCCGGGCCCCCCCTCACTCGGCGACCAGAGCCGCAGCTTCAGCCCCTCCCGCCGCCATCTTGTGCCGACTCCCTCCGCCCTCCGCCTCCACTCCGCCTCCTGGCACTGCGACCTTAAAGGCGCAGACCAGCACCCCTCCCGTGCCGCTGGGCAAAACTCGGCCGACACCACCTTTTCTCCTTTAAAGGGCTGACGCTTCATTCTGCCTTAAAGGTACCAGGTCCCCTCTGCAGCCGGGGACTCAGGACTGGATTCGGCCGAAGCCTGCGTTCCCCTTTAATCCCACAGCCTACCTTTTCCCATTGACAACCAACACTGGCTTCCGCTCCTCAGGCTCCACCCCGAGCTGGGGACAGCAGCTTGCGCACAGGAGCGACAGCCCTTTTCTCAGCATCTGATACCAGTGAAGCCCCACCTCCTTCCTCCGGGCCTGGATTGGCCGAATAACCTGGAGTCAGGCCCTGATTGGCCTTCTCACTCAGACCGCTCAAAACGAGAAAGGAAAGCAGACTGTGAACTCCAGTGCGGCGCTCCAGTGCCTAGGGGAAGGCTCGAGATGAGGCCGCCCTAAGAAGGGGTGAGGGCCAGCTTACAATGGGCAGACTAGCCCTGACGTAGGTGACAGCTGTCACAGCAGAAAGACAAGGTAAAGGAGAGAATACAATAAAAAAAATTCATTTTATTAATGTGTCTGTGTAAAACTTAAACATCTTATTATACCACCAAAAACGGGAGGAGCTCAAGTTCATCTTGCCCTGTCTCTCACCATCCTCCGACAGCTATCCAAAGCATTCTGGAGGCAGGGGGAGTGGGCTGCTAATCAGAGTCCGAGAGCACGATGATCTCCTCAGGGTCGCACTGTGTGGCCACGCTCGTCTGCAAGAACGGCAGAGAAGAGCAGTCAGAGGTGAAAAGCTAGGAGGGAGCCAGAGGTGGTGGTGCGAGCCTTCATTTAGTCCCAGCCCTCAGGACGCAGAGGCAGGCTAACCTCTGATGACACAGAGTTCCAGGACAGCCACCACTACACAGACAAACCCTGCCTCAAAAACCAAAACAAAACAGGATGGAAGGCTGGAAAAGGACAACAGCTACCAAGAACACTGGCTTTGCAGACAAGCTTTCTGCAACCCAGTTCTGGAGGATCAGATGCTCTCTTCTGGCTTCCACGAGCACTGGGCACAAATGTGGTACACAGACATACATGCAGACTAAACAACTATTTACATAAAATAAATCATGTTTGTTGTTGTTGTTGCTGCTGTTTTTTTAGTCTAGGTTTTTCTTTTTCTTTTTTTGAGACAGAGTCTCACTATGTAACCTTGACTGTTCAGGAATTCATAGTGTAGACCAGACAGTGGCCTCAAAGTTAGAGAGATCTGCCTACCTCTGCCTCCTGGGTGCTAGGATTAAAGGCATAAGCCATTATGCTGGGCAAAATAAATGTAAATAACACACACACACACACACCCCGTAGCCAGTGTTTGCTACTTTGCGGGTTCTTCTTTTTCCCTCCCTTTATCCTCCAGGTTTCACCCCTATCACTAGATAGGAGAAAAAGGATAGAGGGGAGAGACTGACAGACAGACAGACAGACAGACAGGGCGATCCCTGAATCTAGTTTCTTCTTTAAGCACAGCTACTAAAAAACTGCAACCAGCCCCCCAAATGACTGCCAAACACCAAGCACGCCTCTAAGGGCTCCAGGATTCATAATTCCCTCCAAAATACACAAGCGTAGAAACTGTCTGCAACTGGTAGAACTGGTAAAACCATGCCTATGCTAGGGCACAAAGCAACCACAGTCAGCTGCTTCAGCCAGTCCAAAGCAGCCCCATATCCCCAAACCTGGGATTAAAATGAAAGCATGCTTAAAATATTTCTGCTGTTGGGTTTGTTTGTTTGTTTGGTTTGGTTTTTCTGTAGCCCTGACTGTCTTGGAACTCACTTTGTAGACCAGGCCTTGAACTCATAGAGATACACCTGCCTCTGACTCCTGGGATTAAAGATGGGCACTACCACTGCCCCACTCTGTGTTTTTAAAATCCCTACCACAAATATACACATACAAACACACACACAAGCCCCAGGATGAGGAAAACAAATGCAGTAGATACTGTATCCCAGAGAGTGAAAGGATAACAGGAATGAACTGTCAGGAGAAACAGAGCAGCCCCCAACTTACCTTATAAATACAAGGCCGGGGGGACGGAGGTTGGGGAATTTGAGATGTCAGGGATGGAGGATTGCAGAAGGAGCTGGTCACCAGGCCATGGCTGGGAGAGTCCACTCTTGTGGAGGAATCAGCAACAGGAGCCACACAGGCCAAGGGGGAAAACAGAGAAGATGGGGTGCTTGTCTTCCTCCCGCTCTCCAGCTGGGCCAGCACCCTTGCCACGGAGCTAAGGGCAGAAGAGAACTGAACGGACAGGAAGGGTCTGACGCTGCACCCGGCACCTCCCGGAAGACTAGGACCCAGGCCTCCTTGCCTCCCTTCTTCCTCCACCTGTCCTTACCTGTTTTCTAATGGTCCAGACCCCAGCTGCCTCTTTTCCTTCCGAGATCGCTTGCAGGGGGGACTGGTATCTCGCCACATGTGAGAAGACACATGTCCATTGAAGGGTGTGGAGGTAACCACAGCTGCCCCGTTTTCTAAGATGGTGAGAGACTCTTCTGACTGACTCCTGGAAGAGGAGATGAGCCTCTCCTCGGGGGAAGAGGAGGTATCCTCTTGCAAGGCTTGACTCTCTAGCTCAGAAAGCTGGGATCCAGGACTCTGCTCCTCCAGCAGTGGCAGCTGATCCCCGCTGCTTTCGGCATCTATGCTGGGAGGCTCCGGGGACTCCCCCAGCAGGGACGCTGGTGTCCCTGTCAGTCCTCTGTTTTGCTGTTCCCCTGGAGACCTAGGCTCACTTAAGGTTTCTGAGTTCCTTCTAGTGGAGAAGTCTGGTGGGGACATAGGACTCTTATCTCCTTCGTTTTCTGGAAAAGAAAAGAGGAGAGGCAGGGCATGAGGAATGGGGCAGAGGGCTGTGCTTAGGAGCTAGGAGGAAGGAAAGGCTCAACATGAACTGCAGAACGAACACCACAGGGGCACTCTGCTTTTGCAATTACCTCCTTCTTCCTCTTCTTCCTCGTCACCCTCCTGATCTTCCTGCAACTGTTCTAGATCCTCGTCTTCATCTTCAGTGGCTTCTTCCTCCTCCTCTTCTTCCTCTTCCTCTTCCTCCTCCTCCTCCTCACTTTCCTCATCTTCTTCATCATCATCAGTCTCATCTTTGGAGGTAGTATGGCACTCCTTAGATGCCACTCCACTAGGACCCTGGGGAAGGGGGGAAGGAGTCTCCCTTAAGGAATCCCTTGCCCCAGAGCTTTTGGTAGGACTCAAACCCAGGACCTCACTAATGCTGGGCAGGCAGGCCACCAGTGAATCCCGCTCCTGAGGAGTCACCCTGGAATCCTGGCGGCCTGTGCAGGGTGAAGACAAGCTCTGACAGGTGCTCACCCTCGCCTACCTCACCAGAATCCAAGGAGGCTTTGGGGGAACCCAAAGAATGGGAAGATTTGCCTAGAAGCCGTGCTCTCCTCTTCTGTCTCTCGCCCTCCTCACTCCTGTCTTGCATCATTGCATACTTGGAGATGACTTCATCCAGCCGGCTCATGGCCAAGCTCCGATTTTCCCGAAGGCGGCGGGCCAATATGGGATCAGACAGGGCAGGGTCAACGCCTGAGTGGGAAAACAGGTCAGAGCACTCAGCCCCGATCCTAGGCTTTAGAGATGCCTCCATCCAACCTAAAGGACCCCTGGTAGGCATCCCAACAGCTTCCTACCTGGCCTATAGTCATCCGTGAGGTGGCAGCCAAAGTTGTAAATGAGATCAAGGTGGCGCCGCTCCTGCAACCTGACGCCCACATCCCGGAAGGCATCCTGAGCCATGAGCTGCAGCTGCTGTCGGGGAAGGCCCAAACTGTGCCGGGTCGCTGCCTTCTCCACCGCCTTCAGCACATCTCCATAGTCAGGGAAGGTGTCAGGCCCCGGCTTGTTGATGAGCCGCTCAATGCGCCTGTTGACCTCTGGGTATCGGGTGCCCCGGTAGGGGATCCGCTGCTCTATGACCCGGCCGGTCAGTGAAGAGCAGTCCTTCAGCTCACACAGCCGCCCGAAGAGGCGGATCAGTTTCCGCTTCAGACGTGCCTCCTGCAAATACGAGGAGTCCGGGTCATCCAGCTCTGACAGATCCAATTCCTTCTCCTGCAGCCGCCGGATCTCTGCTACGTACAGTGCCAGCAGCTGCTCCAAGTGCTGGATCTGCCTCCGGGAACCTCGAGTCCTTGAGGCCTCAGGGGCAGTGGCTTCGGCATTTGTGAGGTCAGAGGGAGCATCGCCGGATGGGTTATCACCAGACGGTTCACTGGGCGTTGAGGCTGCGGGAGCCAAGTTCAACTTTTTCTTGGTTGAATGCGCTTTAAGAACAGTGCAGAGCTCATTAATGTACACATAGAGCTTAGCTGGCCGGTTCCGAGAGCGAGACAGAACCCTGGAGAGTATGTTGCAGAACTCTGCAGAGGCCAGAAATAAAGACTGGGATCGCTGCTGCAGTTTGAGGAGGAACGGAACCACCTCAGGGTGGTCCGATGTCTGAATCTTACACAGTTCAAGGAACTGGAGGGTTCAGGAAAACGAAGGGGAGAAAAAAGCAAGGGAGGAGATAAAAAAAAAAAGATGGAATTAGTGGGGAAGTCAGAACAAAACCAGCCAATCAACCACCCCTTTCCCAGGGATCCGTCCATCACCTCCTCATAGGGGCTCACATCTTTAATCCCAGCTGTCAGGAGACAGAGAGAGCTGAAGCTCTTGAGTTCAAGGCCAGCCTCATCTAGACAGTTCCAGGAAGCCAGGGCCATAGGCGAGACGCTGCCTCAAAAACTAAAAGGGAGCCGTCCCTAAGGCTTACCTCTTCAAACAACTTTTCATTTTCCAACTTGTAGCATTTCCTGCTACCGGAGTTACTGCTCCCTCCATCCCCAAGTGGCTCGGAGGGACCAGAGGCTTCTGGCGCTGGTGAGGCTGGATTGGACGGTGGGTGAGAGGGGCCTGGCTGAGCAGCTGCTTCATCCTCATCGTCATCATCAAGCACAATGATGCTGTCAGTGGTGGCCATGGGGGATCAAATCCCCCTGAAGGAGGAAGGATTGGAAAGGTCAGAATTCTGGAAGGAGAATGGGGCCTCTGGTAGAGAGCCTCCGGCAGAGCCCCACCCCATCAGGTACCTAGGGGTTCAGAATACCTTAGCCCTTTCCTAACTGTCCAGCAACTGTCGGTTTCAGCTGAGCATCTTAAATCCTCACCCTCAACTCCAGCCCCGCCCCCTGCCCCCACCCCGTCAATTTCCTGTCTTTCAGTTCTGTTTTCCCCACTCCTAACCAGCTGATAAGTTTTCTCTTTACTCCCAAATCCATGGCTCAACGCTGCCCTTCCGAGTTTTCCTGACTCTCCTGGGTACAGAACCCAACACCCTGTCGCTGCCAACTCGTGTGTTTGGCCACCTTTACCTTTAGCCCTCAAACAGGACAGCTCCGAGTTATTCCTAACTGCAACTCTCAGACCCCGAAATAAATGGCTTTTTGGCTCCACAGTCCGCTCTCCTCCCCGCTCCTACAATCATCTCCACGTTCCATCTTCCGTTGGGTTTCCTCAAACCGGAACTTTAGGCTGGAGATTTTTTTCACCTCGAGTCCCCTCCCTCTCACCGCACCCTGGTTTCCCCCATCCTCTGTGACTCGTAACCGACAGCGAGCCCGCCTCCCGGCACTCCGAAAGCCTGGGCTCCGAGCCCCAGGTGGGGCCTGTCTCCTGTCTCAGCTTCCCGCCAAGTAACCCCTCCCCCAGTTCAGCCCTAGGCCGCCTCACTCCCCTTCGGGGCTAGAAAGGTACCACACAGCTTGGCACTCAGACTCGGCACCCAAGGCCCCGCCGATCCTTCACGCTGCCACTCCTGCGCCGCCGCCCCCGCTCCGCGCACGGCCCGACCCCTACCTCAAAAACGGTCTCTCGAGGTTCCCCTGACGGCGAATCACAAAACCTCGCATAGTTTCCTCCGCCTTCCTTTCCCCCACCCCCACCGCAGGCCCTACTACGGACCGGAAGCCGCCGAGTTTCCGCCTGAGGCTCCCGAGGGCGGCCATGTTGCTGTACGGAACCCAGTAACCCCCGCAGCCGGAAGTCGCGAGTGGCACGCCCACCTAGGCCGCCGTTCCCAGTGGTCTGACGCTCAGGGGGCGGGGCTTAGGGCCCCACGGGGCGCGCCATGGTGCCGTACGGCAGCCGCCCGCTCAGCGCTCCTGCGGGAAGGAGTGGAGGGAGCTCTTTGCACCCGGTGCTTTGCCCAAGCCACTCCGACCAATCAGAAACTTCCTGCCGCGGACCGCCCACATACTCACGCCTTCTGGTGGAGAGGGTGGGGAAGACGGACCCTCCTCTCCAAGGAGGGGGTCCAGGGAGCCTGTTTATGTATGGCTGTGCAAGGCTCCAGGGAACGGAATAAAAGATTTTCTTTTCTTTTCCTGTCCTGGGTTGGTGTCAGCCTGGCACTCCCTGCTTTCCTCTCCGGGCCCCGAGTTCCAACGCCTGGTTGCCTGCGCTTGCCCTTCCCTTGCGGAGGCTGCGCGCACCTCGAGGCCCTCCAGCCCCCGGGCCTGTAGGTTCGGGTGCACACACACATACATACAAATGAGCACAGCATGCTGCACAGGTGAGGTATTGTTGTTATTGCTGTCGGTGACCCGCTGCTCGCCCCGCACCACAGACGTGATGACCGAGCCAGCTGGGGGCGACTGTGGCCCTCTGTTTCTCCGAGGGTCGTCCTCAGCAGAAGACCGTGCTGCCCGGCGGGGTTTGCAGGGGATGAGGCGGGGCGCGGGATAACCTGGCGCACGCTCGAGGAGCAGCCGTGCAAGCTGCCGCTGGGAGCGCTGGGAAATGAGGCTCTCCAATGCCCCTCGCGTGTATACTCCTCCGGGAGAGCTGCAGAGAAAAGAGGTGGGAAGGACTTGAGAGGCCCGCGGGGCCCAGTGTGGGGCGTGTGTGCTGATGAGGAAGCCTGGTTGGTGGACACGCTCCCGCGCCGAGATGGCACCTCTGTATCCGTCCTCATTCTTCAGGTGGTGGGCATCTTGCCAATTTGCGGGACCGAGAAAAAGCCGGGTGGTTCTAGGAGGACCCGAACCTCAGTCACTTTAAAGAAACCCACCTCGCTTCCCGTCCGGTCTTCCAGGCTTAATGGCATTTAAGTTGAGAAATGGAAAAGCTCTCCAGTGGTTAACGGGACTCTAGGAATAATGAATTTGATTTCCAGATCCTTGGGTTTCTCAAAATGAGTTTCCCTGAGTGGACGCCTGAAATTAAGGTTCCCCACCTTTTCACAAGTATGTATCTGTTTTCTGCCCTATTCGTGTGCCGGTGCACACGTTGAATGCAGGTGCCTGAGGCGAGGAGCACTCAGACTTTAAGAGCACCGTTTGCTCTTGCGGGTTCAATTTCCAGCACCCAGGTAGTGCGACTCACAGCCATCTGTAACCCCAGTTGCAGGGAATCCACTCGCCATGCATGCAGGCAAACCGCCCATACACAGAAAGTAAAATAAATGTATTTTTTAATTAATCGTTATAAAAACTGACAGCGAGTTCGAGGCTGGCCCCAGCACAGAAGCCGCGGCTATCTTCAAGATTTAAGGGGTATAAGGATTCCCTCCGGAATAAGGGAGGGGGTCATGATGTACCCCACCCACCTTTTAAGGAGCTATTGGCATTTAATCGTTGTTGGGGGAGTTATTTTCTGAGTGGGGAGCTCCAGTAAATAACCCCCCCACTTATGCTCATGGAAGTGACCCCAATTAAACAAACTCTCACAAAACAAAAAGGGAAGTAGCATCGACTTGGGAAGAAAAGCTCCCATGGGGGTGAGAGGGGGATGTAAGAGAAAATTGGAGGTGAAAAAGACCAGAACACATTGTATATGATGAATAAAAATAGCCGGGCATGGTGGCACACGCCTTTAATCCCAACAATCCGGAGGCAGAGGCAGGCTGATCTCTGTGAGTTCAAAGCCAGCCTGGTCTACAGAGGGAGTTCCAGGACAGCCAGAGCTGTTACACAGAGAAACCTTGTCTTGAAAAACAAAATAACAAACAAACAAAAAAACGTAAGTTTTCCCCTGTTTGATCAATTCACCTCTCGAAATAATTGGAACTACTCAGAAGAGCTTTATGGTGTGTGGGCCACCTGTGTGCCTGATGCCCGTGAAGACCGGAAGAGGATGAGTAGCCCCTGAGGGAACAGAGACATGAGTATCTGGGGTAGGAATGCCCTGAGCTGGAGCAGGCTGGGGAGTATGGGGGGAGTTGAGAGGGCCCAGGGGTGCTAGTGTGGGGGCTTTGAAATGTAGAGCGGGCACTTGGGAATAGAGAAGGTAGAAGCCTGGGCTTCTGGCAGGCACATGTCAGTGGATAGCCACATGGCCCTTCTTCAGAAGCAAAGGAAATACATCCCTTTTGCAAACAGAAACCTTTTTTTAATAAGTTCCTGAGGAATTCTGGCTTTTATCTAACTGCCAGAAACCCTCCAGTTTGAGGTGGGCCGAGACTTACCAGTCCTGGACATACACTCTGCCTGAGACCTAACATGTCCCAGCCATTTCATCCCTGGATAGATACTTGAAGAAACCCAAGTGAGACACCACAGAGACACTGGCACATCCATGTTGATAGCAGAATGGAAGCAGCCCACATGCCCACCAACACACAAAGAAAATGTGGTGCATATACACAGTGGAGTCTTACTCTGCTGGGAAGAAAACTTAATTTATGAGCTGGAGAGATGCCTCAGCGGTTTAAGAGTGCTCTTTTTTACGCCTCTCTTTTAAACGCCTCAGCGGTTTAAGTCTCCCCTTCCAGACGGTCCTGAGTTCAATTCCCAGCAACCACATGGTGGCTCACAACCATCTGTACTGGAATCTGATACCCTCTATGGCAGGCAGGTGTACATTTGGATAGAGCACTCATCTACATAATAAATCTTTTTTAAAAAAACTTAATTCACGACAGGAAATAGCAGGAAACAAAGTATCAGGAAAACAAAGGAAATGGAAATTGCTCTTAAACAAAATTATATTAAAAAAGGGGAGGAAGCTGTCTAGAGGGTGAATCAAGAGAGAGTAATGGAGCTGGGTGTGGTGGGGCACGCCTTTAGTCCCAGCACTCAGGGAGGCAGAGGCAGGTGGATCCCTGTGAGTTCAAAGTCTGCCTGATGTACAGAGTTCCAAGACACCCAGGGCTACACAGAGAAAACCTGTTTCAAAAAGACAGAGGTGGAGGGAATGTAGGTGATAGTGACAGCAAGAAACACTGTTTAGGGCGAGTAAGGGGACCACCAAGGAAGGGAGGCAGAGTGACAATGGAGGCAGGAAGAAATCATGATATATACGACAATGTCACAATGGGCCAACCTCACCTGTACACTGGGGAGGGGTATCCTGGAGGAATTGGAGGGGAAGTTTGGGGAATGAATATAATCAAAATACATTGTATGTACATATGATGTTAAAATGTGTGTGTGTGTGTGTTGCAACGACCAGAGGTTGGTTCCCAGCACCCACTTGAGGTGATTCACGGCCTCTTGTAACCCAGCCCCAGGGTATCCGACAACCCTGTAGCTTTTGTGCGTGCACCTGAACTCAAGCGCACACACCCACACACAGGCACACACATAACTGTAAACAGAGCAATTTTAGACTCCTGGCCTGACCCATCTCTTCCACCCCGATCTCTCCGAAGCCTCCGTTCTCACCTCTGAGGTGGCGTCTACAGGGAGACCCTCACAGCTCCAGCGCCGCCTCCTCCTGGGGCGTCCTCAGAAGCCAGTCCCGAAACTTGGCCCATGGCAGGGGCCACAGCAGTTTGTAAGCAGCCTCCAACATCAGCACTGTCAGGAAGAGGACCAAGAAGGTGAGGAAGATCTTGTCCAAAGCGCGCCGCAGGGGCCCCCGAGGAGGAGTGGGCCCTTGGGCGAAGGCTAGGAACACATCGCTCTCCTCCCCGCCGCCCTCGTCCTCCGCCATCCTCTCGCGCGGCCAGACGGCTGGCTGGCTCACGGCGGAGCTGAAGGCCTGGCTCAGCACCGCCAGGATTACAGGGTGAGGCGGTGATGATCCTGCACCTGCCGGCCTTGACCCTAATTCAAGAGCCCAGGGAGAGAGGACAGAAAGGCTTTGGGGGGGGGGGGGGGGTTTTTTTTTTTTTTTTTTAAGTCTTAGGACTGTGAGTGTTCTCTCATCAACTTCACCTGGATTCCGGGGGTCTAGCTCAGCGTGCCAGGCTTGCACTAAAGGCACGTTACCTGATGAGCTGTCTCACTGGCCCAGGACAATCGTTTAATCGCCCAGCCTGAGGTGACAGGTCAGGCTATATGATCACTAAATCCTACTTAGCTTTACCATATGTGTCTCTGCTTTGGCAACAGATGTCCTGTTCCAGACACTTATATTGAAAAGGACAGGCAGGCATCCCTGGCTTCAAGGCCACCCCCACACACACAGCTTTTTTAATATAATTTTGCTTAAGAGCGATTTCCATTTCCTTTGTTTTCCTGATACTTTGTTTCCTGCTATTTCCTGTCATGAATTAAGCTTTTTTAAAAAAGCTTTATTTATTATGTAGATGAGTGCTCTATCCAAATGTACACCTGCCTGCCATAGAGGGTATCAGATTCCAGTACAGGGTGAAGCCTTTCCTGACAGAGAAAAAAGCATCTGTAGTGACAGGTCAGGGTGGGTCGTCTCTCCTAACCCCCGGGGAAAGGGGAAGGGTGTCTCAGGTTCAAGCAGGCTAGGTTCAAGCTGTCAGGATTTCTGTGGGTGGTCCTCAGATGGGGAGACTAAAACCTAGCCAGGCTGAGTGGTGCATGCCTGAAATCGTTCCCTTCAGGGTGCTGAGGCAGGAGGATCAGGATCACTGAGAGTCTAAGGTGAGTCTAGATATATAGGTGAGACGTTGCCTCAAAACTAAATAAAGCAACTGAAAGAATCAGACTAACTTTGTAACCTATGTTTCTTTAATTGCCTTATAACTTATATTTTCAAGTTTTAGGCCCATGTTAATTAAAGCCTCTTAGTGCTTCTCCATAGAGCCGAGGAATGTAAAAGTTCCTGACATTAGCCATCTGTGAGGGCAGAGATAAGGAAGAGAACAAGCAGAGATCTCTACTAAATGGAGAGAAAAATCACCGGCCGGCGCCCTAGGCCAAATGGCCCCAATCCTTCTCCTGACCTTTGATCCAAATCCTGTAACCCTCACTCCTCAGAACAGACACGGGATGAATTAATCACTCTCCCACCTTTAACTGCAGCTATATCTCATATGGCAGGAAATTCCAAACTGACTTGAAGATCAAATATTCCCCAGATATTTACGACAGGGCTGACCGGACCTAAGGGTGCCCAGAACCAACCAATTATTTTAAAAGTTAAATACCTCATCCAATCATGAATTGCCAAGAAAAAAAAAAAAAAAACCCTAGAATTCCCCGAGTCTTGTCTTTTAAAAACCTAAGGTCTTTGTCTCCCGGGGCCACTCCTAGCTGACCAGCAGGGGTGACCCCATTGTGCAGTGGTCAAGAAGAGTCTCTTGCGATTTTGCATCGATGGATGATCAGTTTCCTGGGTTCTCTTCATACCTTCTTATATTTAGGCTCATGCTGGGCCTAACACAACAACAAACCGTCTGATGAAATACAATAAAAACCGTAAAAACAAACAAATTCCCTAACTCCTGGTCCTGCCATTTCAGGGGGCCAGTTTGAATTGGACAGCATACCTTGACCATGTTTGTAAGAAGAGCTGTGATTGGTCAGATGGTGACTGTTGCCTGTTAGGCAACCAAAGGAGGGAAGTTTATGATGGATTCTAAATAGACATGTGTGGAGCTTGTCCTCGGGGCACATGAGTCCAGCTGGTGAGGGGGCCCTCTGGCATCAGGAGGATGGCCACCAGAGACCCCAAGGGCTTTAAGCATTAAAGGGCTCATTGTTTTGTTTTGTTTTTGAGACAGGGTTACTCTGTGTAGCCTTGACTATCCTGGACCAGCTTTGTAGACCAGGCTGGCCTCGAACTCACAGACATCCACCTGCCTCTGCCTTCCAAGTGCCAGGATTAAAGATGCAAGCCACTGAGCCCAACCAGGGCTCCTTGTTTTACTCTCATGCCCAATTCTGGGAAAGCAGGGTAGGCCTGTGGCAGGATAGAAGGGAGAGTTATGGGGACGTGGGAAAGGAAAGGTGCCTGTGCCCAAGGCTCATCAGAGCCTCTCAGCTAAGCAAGGTTTCCAGCACAATTAACAACTCATAAGGCCTTCCTTTCTCCGGAATCTCATGACACCTCCGTGCAGTACTGGTAGGCTCTGGCTTGCTTCGTCATGTTACAACCAACCCGGGACGCCTTAAGGCACCCTGTAATCTCACTTGTTAAATCGAGGGCAAGTGCCCCAGAGTGGTGGGCTATAACTGGCCTTTGCCACTTTGTGGGTTCTTCTTTTTCCTACCCTTTATTCTTCCCTTTCACCCCCCTGTCACTAGATAAGAGAGGAACAAGGATAGCGTGGAGAAAGGAATGAGGAAAATCCCTGAATCTAATGTCTTTCCTTTAGTTTCTTTTTTGAGCACAGCTACTGACAAACTGCAAACAACCTCTGGAAAGTGTCGTCAACCCCCAAACCTCAACCCTTGAGAGCCCTAGCATTTATGTACCCTCTGAAAAGTCCCAAGAATTTCAAAGGTCACACAGTCCCGGAAACTGTCTGCAGCTGGCAAAACCACGCCTCTGCCAGAGCGAGGCAAATCACAGTCAGCTACTGCTGTCTGAAGCATCCCCACATCCCCACACCTGGAGTTAAAACAAAAACACATTCTTGTAACATTTCTGTGTTTTTTAAAGAAACCAAAATTCCAGAATTCTCACTACAGTGGGGCCCACCATTAAGCTGAACACTGGGGAGACAGAAGCAGGTGGATCTCTTTGAGTTCAAAGCCAGCCAGGGCTAGAGTGAAGAAAGAATAGAGACAGGTGCGTGGTGGAGAAACAGAGAAGTTTGCAAGCTTCACTGTAGGCTTTCTTGAAGTTGTAACAGTGTCCAACAGGGAGAAACAGGATGCAAGGGGGGGTGCGGTTGTTTGTCAGAGTCAGTGTGAGAAAGGAAAACTTAAGCATGTGGAAGAATCGAAACTTTAACCTAACTTTAAGGTCTGATTTCTCAATCTTACCTCCTTCCTCCTTTTCTCTCCTTCCTCTGTTTTTTGATTTTTAGAGGAAATAACAATTTTTTTCTCTCTAACCCAGGCTGGCCTTGAACACAACATGTAGCCCAGGCTTTGGGGTGTCTCTGTGACCTTCACAGTCTGCAGAGAGCCAACCCTTGGGAAGCAAGAAGGCAGTTCCACTTGACATGACTCCATAGCTGGAGTGGCTTATTCTAGGCATGTTTAAGCCCAGCACAATTTGCTGAAAACGGCTCTGTGATAATCAACCCCACGTCCGCAACAAATCGAACATGAATCTCCTCGAGGAACAAAGGAAGCTGGGTACAAGCACTGCAACTCTCTGTAAGGTCCATCAGGGTCTGTAAACAGAGAAAAGCATCTTTACAATAAGGGTCTGCGGCAGGGCCCAGTGCCAGAGTGTCTCTAGCCCCCCAGACAGCACAGAGGTCACCAAGCTGGAAAACGTGTCCACTGCAGCCTTCTGGGCAGGTAACGGGCGATGCCTCCCTTCCCCAGTGGGAACAGCCCCCGGGTGTTCCCATTGCAGCTTTCCCTAGTTCTCTGGGAGCGCGGAGGCCTCTGTGCCTCCCACACAGGCTGGTCTCAAATTCAGAGCAGTCTTGCTTCTGCCTCCCGAGCTCCGGGGTTTCTGGACTGTGTCCCGGATTTCAGTTTCTGGGACACCAGCTACGAATATTTTTAAAACAGTAGTTGTCCTGTGGTCTGATTCTTCATCCCGTAGGCATGTATTGAATTGTGTGGTTGTTTTCCAGGAAGCCCTGGTTTTAATCCTTTTCACTGCAAAACCCAGCTGTGGGCAGGTGCCCGCCTTTGAGCCCAGCACTGGAACTCACTCTGTAGACCGGGCTGGCCTTGAATGCAGAGATCTCTGCCTCCTGAGTGCTGGGAACCACCACAAAGGCGGTGTACACCACCACATCCTGCCCTTCACTTACTATTTTAAAATCAAACATTTAAAGATGGTCTCTGTCAGATCTGCCTCGTGTGCCTCTCTCCAAAAGGGCAGCCCCATGGACTAGGTCCAAGATTGAGTCTAAGCCCAGCTCAACCAGGGATGAAGGAGACAGTTAGATAAAAGCCAGCATTCCTCGGAAACTTGTGAAACTGCTTCTCACCCTCCACCCTCAGGCAGAAGGGACATCTAGGACTGTCCAGCATGAACCTGTGGCTGCATGTCAAAGCCCATGCTGGCCTGTGGGCTCCCTCTGTCCCCATTCACACAAGTGCTGCCGTGCATGTGGAAGCCGCTACCCTGCCCCTCGCCTCGGACCCCCAACCCTTTACTCCCCTACTCCTGTCATTGTCTCCCCCCCCACCCCCAGTTCTCTGCTCTCTATCCCTTGCCTTCCTCATCATCTCCACTACTCTCCAGGTCTTCCACTTGTCCAGCCTGTTTCTTTTTCTCTGTTCTGGGCCCTCCCAGATGCCTCCGGCTGTTCTCCTCTGTACCGAAACCTTCCCGAATAATGTAGCAGTCACGCCAGCAGTTTCCTAAGTGAGTCCATCATAACCTGTGGTGCTGGACACCAGGAGGGCACAAATGACCTCCATTCCCAGGGACCTGGCCTCTCCTGACTGAACCAAGCTGCTGAGCGGACTCTCCTGAGCTGACCTCCCTTGCATTTGATGGCTTCTGCTACCTGCCATATTCAACCCTAAGTTTCAGGGTCTGCCTCCAGCCTCGGATCCCCCGGAGCCCACTACTGCCAGAGAATCATGTCAGTGAGTCAGAAGTTTCTCTTGCCTTCATGGGCACCGGTCACATGGAAGGGGACACCTCTTTTTTGT